TCAAGGTCTTGTAAGTGTTGCACTATGCTCGTACTGCGTAGTATCATGTAATTTACTGAACTTCACTGACAATGAGCACAGGCCAGTGGTCATAGCGGTAGTATTTGTTTAGAGGCAGATCATTATCCATCAACAGGTTGCAGGTGGGAATGCGATATCTATAATTGTTCTTTTAATGATTTGGGATCGGGCCCGGATCCTACATGCTTAGTCACGGTCATGCAATTTGTCTAAAGTCGTTTAATCATGATTAGTCACAATAGGGTCCGCTTCTATTAAAAGGTTAGATGTCTACAACATAAAGAGCATCTTATACATCAGTACGCAGGGGCTGTCGGTAACGGCACAATTAAAAGCGATAGAGTTTTTTTCTTATCCCATCATTATGCGGCGGAAAGCGATTAATTATCGAATTAACAACATTTATACGTGCGCGCTTTACAAAAGCGATTGCATTACATTTGCTCAAGATAATAGGTGTTGAGTGTTGATACATAACAATTATTTTATATAAGCTCTTAATTGCTGCGTGCCTCTTCAATAAATTGAAATATGTAGCGTTAAACATCAAGTGATTTAGATTCCCGTGGCATCTTAATAAAAAGCAAATTGCTTTAAAAATCTTAATGTTTCTGCGTCCGAGTGTTGTTAGTTGGTACCTGCCTAAAAGCGTGGCATGTCCAAAGATAAGGCACTCCGGCGCCGTCTGGCTATAGACTGTTTAATCGGGTTAATTTATCGATAATTGACGGAAAACCTTTTTGTTTGTAATGCCGGGAAGTAACAGTAATTGTCACGCCTTTGAAGATTTACGCCCGTTTCTAAATTGAGACATTAACAGTCGGATCTCGTGCCTAATGGTTTGGAATGAATTTGTTTGTTTGTTTTACTTATACCGGTTCTTCGATACGTTCGGCTGGTAACGCGACGGATGTCGGATTCTATCGAACCACGCTAATTAGCTTTAGACAATATTTCAAATGTCTACGGCAATTAATTAGCTTGACGTTTATTTGGCGAAATTGTTTGTCTAACTAGTATTGGACACGAATTCCGATATTATTTAGTGGTTGCCGCTGGTGCAACATTATTCGAGAATGATGATTAAATTCCAAATGGACTTTGATAAAGTGAGGCCTTACCTATTCAATAGATTAGGTGTTTGATCTCAATCTGTAAAACGTTATCAGAAATCAAATATACAAATATTGTTAACATTAAATACGGTCTTAATTACGAACTAAATAATACACAGCAGAACCTTATTAACAACGGGCCTCTAAAATGTGACATATAGATAATACAAAAAATATTAGACAAGTACCAATGAATCGACTACATCAACGATTATGTTTTTAGTAAGTATTTATTACATAATTCTAGCAATGAGTGTTAAATTGTGTTGTGGCTTATAATATCTTCATTATACCTACACTGAGAAAGCCTGCTATAAATTATACAAATTAAATAATATTGGATATTTGAGCGCTTTCATTTAACAAGTAGACATCTACAAATCTTCTAAAATAGTTTGCTTTTTATTAAATTAATAACCGTGTCTTAAGTCCAATCAGACCTGTAGGCGCCTAGTTTGTCGTTTATTAAGTAGTTAATTATAAGTTCTTTTGAACTCACCGTTTCTCAGCAGAAAAGGTTTCCATCAAAGCTCAAATTCTAATTTGAAGACGATTAGACGCTTCCTTCAGTGCTGTCGCTCCGAAATAAAAATCACGTCCTCATTGGACGTCTAGAACCAGTTAACGAATGAGTGGCGTCACGTCGTCTAAATGAATTATTGTTGGCTTTATGGGGAACATAAAACGATGAGATCGGATGCAATCAAGCGGCACCCGCCGCGTCGACTGAGTAAAAAGGTGTCTGTACCTCCAGGGGGCCTCGCGCAACCGTTGCGCTAAACGCCTACCCTACGCACACGCGCTCCACTCGTTTCAATTAGCTCTCAATGGCTAAAGTCACAAAAGATGTGTCAACCCGCAATGAATAATCGACCCGCAATATCTAGCTCCCATATCATTTGAATAACAACCTGTTCTGCAACAATTAAATGTAAAATCACAACCCACAATTATTCGATAGCTACAAATAGCGCTACAATAAACGATAATCGGAACGATTTACTTATGTACAGATACCATTCTTGTGCAACTTCGTTCGCTTTCAAAACTTACAAAGCCCATTAGGTAATTCAATAACACGACAATGGCTAAGCAAAAACCGATCAAAACATGTTTTTATAGTACTATGTTCAGGCGACGATTAAAGGTTCTCCAAAACCTAAATCCGAAATCATGACCGTGACCCTCCCAGCGTCGGGCAACACTGTTGATGTGATGCACTGCTGGGAACCAATTTAATGCTGTAACAAATCAATAAATGTATCGGTTTATTGGAAGCTGTGTAGAGATCGATTTGATTTATTTCGACCGTACAATAACGGCGAACGAGGTGGGACCTTGTTAGTAAATGTCAAAAGACAAAAAAATGCTCGTTCTAACTTTTAGAACCGTATCGTACGAACATCAATATGTAACAAATTGAACATAATATTATTATTAGAGCCGATTAAAAATGTGAGTTTCAAAATGATCACTAAACGCACATTGTAAAAACAACATTAACGGGGAACAATAAATTATAAAAGTGTTTTTATGGCCAACCAAAACATTTTAACACCCCAACCGTAAACTTACTCGTCATCCGTTTCGCTAATTAATCGGCGCCAGCCAATAATTTGGGCCTCAACGTAACCCATACAGTTTGTGGGTTAAGAATGCAATTAATCAAAATATGGTCAGTAGCTAGAGCCGCCCGTAACGCCTCGTAAACCGATATCGATTTAGTCGATAAGTTGCGCAAGCCATTGTCCAAAACTGCCTCGTCACCGCTAACAAAGACGGTAGTGGATACCTTATTAAAATTTAGCTGGCTTCGATGAGCTGCTCTGTTTTAATAACTGCTCGTCAGAAAACGATCGACAGACGCGCACCGCTCTCGAGTGGTTGCGTTTTTGACACATTCCTTTTGTAGTCACCGTTTGTATAAATATTAAGTTAAAATAAATTGAACCTTTCGAGAGGATTCATATTTTTATAAAAATAATATAAAAGCTGGATTTTTTCCGAACATCTTTTATTACCTATCTTGAATAAGCAGATTATTTTGATGAATAGTTATCAACAGGCGACTGTTATGAAGCATAAACTAAATATTATTGTTGGAGAAATTAAATTGAGTGTTGGTAGATACGTGCCAACCATGCAGATGTAAGTTTAATCAATTTAGGCAAGTGGAATAGATGCGCGCTGGCCGGGCACGCGCTAATGACAAAAGGCTCGGCCGTTGAGCGTGATCATTTTGTTATAATTTGATTAAATTTCTATTACTTACACATATTTCTTGACTGACCACAGAGTCACAAATATTCAAAGGGTTTAATATTATAATATTATTTTTGTAGTTCTGTAGTAGTCAAGTTCAAGTAATATCTTTTGTATGTACGAAAAGTTTGGGGTCATAACATCATTCTAATGTTTTTTTTTGAAAAGTTCATCAACATACGGGCCCTATGCAATTCGTGAAAGTTAAGAATTTGAGTAACATAATCATATAAACGTCTTAAGAACCTAAAGAGCTATCTCGAATCCACAAAGAAAAATGTTATTGATGGACAAAAATTCAGACTCATATTCTTATGTTGGGGACACAATGTACGTATTTATTACATTTCCTAAAGGATTTTATTATTATTTATGAATATTGACTTTATTTAGCCATTATATTAGAACTCTATAAAACCTCTAGCCAGGCATTTGTGAGATTGAGGCTAGGAAATAGATTCTACAAAAAATGAGATGTTATGTCAGTTGTATTATTTTTATACTTCTGTAAAAGTAATAGTGATTCGGGGCTCCCTGGCCAGCAGGTGGTCCGCACCGGTCAACATACTTTGATACACCGAAACCATCGACAGATCTAATGGAATCAATCATAAATACAACCCCGGACAATCCAAGCCGTCGAAATTGAACAAAGCATTCCTGATGCAATAAAGCCATTCAATTTTAAATATATTAAGTAAATCGTAACCACAAAAGCTAGCGGTACAATTTTGAATGTTTCGAGTTAAAATGCTGGAGAATTTATTTAAATACAGCAACGTTTACGACAAATATGTGAGCATTTACGCAAAACAACCGACTGACGTGGGATCGCGTGCAATTTTCGCATACAACGGAGGCATGAGCGCTCACTGCGCTCGAGCAATTATTTTAAACACATTTCAACAAATGACGATAATGTCAGCCGGCCACAGAGATAAGAACAAAAAACATAAAAAATAAAAACGATCACTGAGCAATTGTTCGACCCCTTCAAAAGAACTCGTTCACATACCCGTGTTATTCATAATCAGAATTGTTTCCTTCGTACCTACTTATCGAAGAAAAAAAAAATTTGAGGAATTTTCTCGATTTATTTTTACATAAAATACCAATTCGTTGATATTTTTATAATGAAGGTGGGTATCGGGAAACGGTTATTGTTGTCCTCGATTTTACTGAATATTAATATTTGACTTACTATAAGAAATGTTTTCCAGGTATTATAAAATCATGTAAATAAAACTTGTTTTATATAGACGTTAACCCAATCATGTGCTCTGAAGTTACGGCGCCCCCTGCGGATTTAATGGCTGCGAACCAATTTAACAACTCAGTTTAGCACAGTGTTTCCCATCAAGAATGTTATCGTCTCCTAATCCGGTCCCCACTGATATCGTAAACCAGAAGTGGTCTTGTAAGCAAAACCAGTTCCAATGCGATCGCACGCACCCTACCGAACTGCACTGCACTAGAGAAAACATCAAGGCACAGAACGGCCTTTGACGATGAACGCATTAATGACTTTTAATTAGCCTTGCGATTTTGAACCTTATTCCGTTACAGGGTTGAATGTAAATACACTGTTCGATTCACGGGCGCTTAAGCCGTATTTTCTTTTAGCCGCTGATGTTTAACGTCACGCATGGGCACGAGAGGTGTCGTTGGTGCAATTATCGCAATTGGCTCGTTGGCCTCTGAGCTAAAGACGCCCATCGTACTCTAAGATATGTGTGTGAGCATGTTTGTGTGTCGTTGCTACGTTATAGGAAAATACATTTCAGCAAATGTCCACTCTAATCGTTATGTTTGTATTCTACGGCGAACAATATTAGAATTTGTGCCGTGGTTAGTTACAATTGTTACATTCAACTGGTGAAACTTATGAAAGTCGTCTGAAATTTACGGCGCGGATATAAAAAATAATGAGTAGAACCCAAATTTTAACTTTAATTTGTGAAAAATATACATTTATCTGCAGGAAATTGGGGTATTATGGTTTGAATCTAATGTCATTATATATAAATAAAGTTGCATATTATATGTAACAACGACATCTTTATACTCAAAGCCCTCCGCTTTAGTGACACATTTATTGTGCAGTTGGCTTCAGTCCCGCGGCACTGCGCGACATTTTTATTTATTGCTCTTTATTGCGTAAAAATTTTGTCAAAATTGTTTCATTTGATCTTGAGATCAAAAGGAAACAGATTGACATAATTTTCTATATAATTTGTGGTCAGCATAAACTGAACATCAGCATTAGACGAACTTGGGGCTTCATTTAAACGGCCTTTACAGTAGCTGAATTATGTAATAGATACACCAAAATATAACTTTAAAGATTATAAGGCTTACAAAGTTGCTTTTCTACTTGGGTGATTATTCGTTCTTAAATAGTATTGATGATATTATTTGGTGTTGACAACAGATGCTCTATTATCAACTCTTTAAAATGAGAGAAGTGTGGGAGAGCCATGCTTCGGCACGAATGGGTCAGCTCGACCGGAGTGATACCACGGCCTTACAGAAAACCGGCGTGAAACAACCACAGCGTTGTGTTTCGCCGTGTGAGTGAGGTTACCGGAGGCCCAATCCTTCCCCTTCCCGGACCCTTCCCCAATCCCTAAATCTCCAAATCCCTAATTCCTAAAAGGTCGGCAACGCACTCGTAACTCCTCCGTTGCGGGTGTCCATGGGCGGCGTTGATTGCTTACCATCAGGTAATCCGTCTGCTCGTTTGCCGACTTATTACATAAAAAAAAAAGAGTCCCTGTAACTAAATTTTAATAACTAAAAATGATGAATACGTCCCTTAACTTTAATTTGCGCACTGTGCCGTGACCTGTGTATACTATTTCACCTTTATTATGCGTGCACATAAGAACATGCCCGAATAAATTTGAGTGTGTGACCTTTACACATAGGCTCGCTTACATAATACATATAATGATACCTAAAGCATTGTGTTGCTCGCACATAGACACAAAATCCAATAGATGTTCTCGGATTACATTATATCCGCCGTCAGCTACCGCGGCCATTTACAAAACTAACAGACCATATTCGGGCTTGCACTTGAATGGCTTTGCCTATTGCCCTGCCGAAACTGTTTGACACTCATCTAAAGTTCATTACTCAAATACTTTAATCCTATAATTAGATAAGTGTTTGGTTTCTGGCTACACTGAGCGGTTCGCAGGTTGTGGGTGAGGTGACCTTGTTTTTTGTTGGTGAAGTTTTTGTTGCTAGGCTTTCATCTCTATTTAAACAAATACCTAATTAAAAGCTTTCATCCAGGAAGTGGACTTTTAGGAAAGGTTATGAGACAACAGGACTTAAAACACAGTATTATTTAAAAAAATCTGTTGCTCAATAACTTGCATTGTGTCTACAATTATACATAATAGATGAAGACACAACCCACTTATTTACTAGGTAAGATAATAAGCTTAACCCTGACTTAAAGCAACTTCTAATCATTTCCTGGTTAATTTAAACCAGTTCTTAGACAGATCAGTCTCAATTACATGGGCTACACAATTCGCACGTCATCCATCCAGCAATGATATATGAAAAAGTCTAAAGGACTCCACTCATTGAGTTAATAACAATCTGTAAATTGCCATAAATTATTTTAATAAGGTAACTCGGTAATAATTCGATGATCAGACGGTTCCATATCGTGTGTGCGCGCACGCAACGCCTGTAACTTGAGTCGCTCACCGGTATTACGCGACGTTCGCTTTATTATATTATTATAACTAGAGATCCTTCGACATCCGAACGCACTTCAATTTAGATTGACAGCTTTTGGTTTGTCTTTTGTTTCAATCTAACATGTGTTTTACTTTTTTTGTGTTGAAAATTGTATTTTACAGAGTCGGTTTTCCCAGACATAAAATATAGGACAAATATGACATTTGAGGTTACAAGTAACGGATCTTTCTATTTCCAATGACAGTCAAACTGCAACTCTTATAAGAAGTTTTTTAATATAATTGTCAATATCATTAAGAAGAATTTCGACCACAATTAACTCAGAACCAATTTTGAGTAGGACATAGAAATTTGGAAATAATTCTAAAATAAAGAAAATCTACATGTATATTTTCCGGTGCAATACTAGAGATAAAATGTAGGACTTTAATGGTGGTAGAAAACGGTCCTGCAAACTGCGTCACGTTAGCGGGTGCACGTCGAGTGAGCACAGTTGCATGGGCCTAGCTCGTGATAGCCCACAGCATGCACGGCATACGTATAGGAAACGGCTATAGCCTCGTGGTCGATGCCCATAATTGTTTGTTTGTTTCCATGATCACAACTTATGAAGATATATTAGGAAGGTGTTTTTATGAAATAGTTTGGTTATTGTGATTGGAAGCTGCTAAATTAAAATAGACTAGCAAATACAACATATGATTTAAAGATGAGCTCATGAATTCTGAATTCATAGACTCAAATTATATTTTAGGTCCAACTTTGTTATTGTTGTACTATTTTCTTGAAGTTTTGACGTAATTTTAAAGGTATTTAGTCTTTTATGGGTCATATTCTGTTAATAAAATTCTTTTATGCAACAAAATATTATATTATGTTACAAAAAAGAAGATAAATACATGTCAGTTCACTAGAGGTCACAGCATACCAATTTAATTTAATTTAAAAAAAGAAAACCTATTATTTCGTTTATTTTAAGAGGATACGAAATTAATTATTGTTACATAGAGTAAATAAATTAAATATTAAGTACTGTTTATAACTTATTATTGGATTAGTGTATAATACTTTAATAAAATTATAGGTGCTGATACAAATGAATTGAAAAATTATAAGAATGTTTTAACTAGTTGAGTAATTTTACCGGTCTGTAGTTGAAACATAAGCAATAGTATCGCCATTTCCCGTACGTAATTGAAGTATTTATAAATGTAGAATGTTAATTATTTTAGAACTGTAACTAAGAAACTTTAGCGAACGATTTTAACAGATATTTATCGAGGACGGATCGATTTTTAGCCTTTACTTATCTTGTTTGAAAATACGAAGTAAATATAATGCCCTAATTATAGGAGGTTCCTGTTATTGATTTCTATTACTTATTATTTTAAATGGATGATACTAATTGATAAGTCGTCATCTATACTAATATTATAAAGGGGTAAAATTTGTAAGTTTGTATGTTTGTAAGTTTGTATGTAGGGGGTAATCTAAAAATCTAAAGATCTTGATCTAAAAAATCTTTGGAACCGCTGGTCGGATTGCCAAAATTCTTTCACTGATAGATAGATAGCTACAATGTTCTTGTGTGCTATAGGCTATAAAACATCACGCTACGATCAAATGGAGCTGAGTAGCTGGTGAAACCGCGCGAGAGTAGCTGGTCTGACATATAGGTATTACATTAAAGTGTAGTGAAGTGCTCAGTACAGTGAAGTAGTGTTTACCTTCAGAAATAAGTCTTTCCCGGATCTCCCACGCAAAAATAGTAGGGTTTTCTCTTTTGTACTGCTCTATCTTGGAGACCACGGCAGGAGTCGCAACTTTAGGCTTACTACCTCCAATCAGACCAGGTGGCCGAAGAGTGCCTGAAACAAGAAAAAGTATCATCAATAACGGAACGTATTTATTAGCAAAGCTGGTGTAATAGTTTAAATAAACACAGTTCTATAAAATTGAAGACTGTTGATTTTGTTAATAGATATTTGGTAGTATTTTCAACCATATCCGATTTACTTTGCGATTTCAATCACGATTCCGGCTGGCGACACGCTTGTTGATAAAAACACACTAAACAAACTGTCACCTGCTGATCGGTAAAGGAAATAAAAGAAAAATCAAAATCAAATTAGAGGTTCAAATAAAAATACCAGTAATAGCGACACGATGCCGATTGATGCAATTTCATTGAGCGCTAAACGTGAGTAAACGCAAGTTACTTGTCGCCAAACAATACTTACATCACAAAACTTAGTTTTACTTCTTAGCCCTTATTCGAAGAGTAATAAACTTCAAATTACTTCTAAAAACAGCACATCAATATTTGTATTTTAACATTTAAAAGGACAGTGGACGTGCGTCCTTACAAAAAATTGATAATCGAGCACGGCGGTAAGAATAACAATGAAACCTTTAAATTAGTATTTATAATTACAGAATCATTGACATCGGCTAAATGAAGCCTGCATGTGACGAGACGTGAATTTTTAATTATTGTTTATCTCTGGATTAGTTTTTGCTGTGCTTAAACACGTGGGATACTGTTAATTACGTTCTGGATTTATTTCAATCAATGTATTGGGTAAACTTTCATAAGCATACACCTTTTAAAATAATTAAATGAAATGTTTCCTGAAATTTGCAGCAGCAAATTGTGGATAAAGAAACTGAAAGAAAATAGTAATCGTAGACTTATGGAGTGGCTTATGATTAGGTTGGCTAGTAAAAACCAACATATTGTTGGGTGCCTAAGTCAGTTAGATAATGGATGAGTGCGTGCATCAGGACAATTACGTAAAAACAGCGGTGCGGCATTCCGGCGGGCAGCGCGCGGACCGCTTGCTTTTTACGCGCACACCGCTCTTCCATACCGATAACACGCTGAATTATTCAACACATTATTTATATTCACATTTTTGTCAACGCCATTCAAGATGAATTCATAAGTCTCTTTATGTCTTGATAAGACTAAAGCTTACCGACCAAAATGGACTGCTCCAACAAAAACACAATTTCGAGTTAACATGAGGTCCGCGACACATCGCCTTAATAGGTGAAACCCATTTTAATATTACGACCACAATATGAATTTATGTAGAAAATTGTGTGTTTTCATATGTAGTAGGTATTGGCCATAGAAAGTTGGTAAGTATGGGTAATTAAGCAGTGTAGCGTGATACAAAACTGTAAAAAGCGAACGCTACATTTTATGTAATTATTTCAACATAGATTTAGTACGCTGCGATAATATTCATAAGTTTATTAAAATAGTAAATTATACCGCTGTTCGTAGCTACACAAAGAAAAACAAATTTCTTAAGCACGTTAAAAATGAAGGCGCTCTCTGTACTCTTTCTCTATTAATTAACCTTAAAAGGTGCCATAGTTATGATGAACTCCATACAGCAAGTAAGAAAAAGTTGCTGCGATTTATTATAAGTATCAAAATATTTATTCATGTCACATATTCGTTTGGTTTGATTTTGTAAATGATTTTTCTGGCCTTTGTTGCGTTCACAACAAATTCAATATAGCCGCGACTTTTTGTGCTTTAATATCTACCTTATATTTCTTTTGCATAATACTTTAAGAGGATTATTTATTAGTTAGTAAATTGTGCTACAAATGAGAAACTGCTATACCGTGATGAAAAACCTTTATAAATTACGACGAAGAATGGTCCCGTTTAAATATTGTACCAATAATTGCTTGACCAGCGGATGCATTGAGGCGACACCGGAACGTCAAACATTACGTGGTACGTGCATGAAATCCCGCAGCACCTTTCACTGCAGTCTGACTGTAACTATTGAAATCCCATATTGCCACTCGACCGCCGTAGAACGCCAATAACCGTTCTCTTCTTGATTGATAGCTAAATTGCAGGAGGCCGGCACACTAATCATTTTGCGATAATTAAATCGACTAGAAACGTAATCGCATGACCGGAGCCAATTACTCGCCGTTGCCTAGGCAAAGGCGGATCGTGTGAGCCACTGAAACTCTTGCTAAATGTGTATTATTTGTGTGAAACACAAGCGCGCTCCCGGCGCGTACGCACGATCTAAGGAAACTAAGCTTGTTCCACCTCCATTATTTATACTCGTCAAATTAGAAAATTTTATTTCTTGCATGCAGATGGAATTACAATACCGTTACTACATACATACGTATATGAATTTCAAATACCAACGTATTTTATGACTAAGACCGTTGAGTAAAATATTGCAAAATAGTAAAAAAGATGAAAATTAAGGAAATTACAGCACATATAGAGTAATGATACAAACTGCTGTACATTCTAATGAATATAAACATTTATTTAAGTATTTGTATTTATCTAATTATCACGTCAGCTGGATAGCGCTTAGCGCGCAGAAGTGCTCTTTAATATTGCGTGTAGCTGTTGTTACGAGTATAAATAAAATAAAACAATAAATTAACCTGGCCATCTTTCAATTGCTTCATAAATACTGAACGTCGTGTTCGTTATGATAATAAGCGTCATAACTATGATCGGCACGAATCAATTGAAAGTTTAACACTACACCATAAACTCGAGAGAAACTACATAAACACATTCACAATGCACGAACAAGGTGTCGAATAATCCCTTCAAGTTTTTATTGTTTTTCCTTTAAACGGAGACTTATATTGCAAAACAAAGATGAGCAATTAATCATCAGCGGTACCTACGCTTAAGGAAGTGAGACACAAAGGGACAATGCACACTCAAAACGTGTGTTAATAAATTTCCACACAGAAGTCGTTTATGGACGCTTTAAGCCATTACACGGTGCCCCCACAAAGATCTTTTTAAACGACATAGAAAAGGTCTGAATCCAGTTAATTAAATTTGTATTAAAAGTATTCAGAAGTGGGTCTTTACATTGGCTGGCGCTAAAGTTAACCGCGGTCCAATAGTGCGCTGTCATCCAGTTAATAGATCAAAATCTTTAACGTTGAAGTGGGCCTGGATGGCCTGATTTATTGAACATAATGCCACGCGTGTTAATGATGCCTTGATTCGGTGATTGATCGACTTTTTTTTGTAAAACTTGAATCAGTTTGCGCTTGCTCCCTCGGAAGCAATTAGATATTATGAACGAACTTACTGAAGTGGATCAGGCATGGTCTATACATTAAACAATAGATATGTCTCATTAGCAGATACCTACCTATTTTACTAAGACGCAGATGGTTTCAGATAATTAGGCAGCAATGTGTTACGTATATGATGTATTATTACAGCCTGATAAAATACCAAAAGGTGCTTGCTATGCTGTATCCCATTGTTAATCAAAGCTTTTGTTAGCTTTGTTCTATGATTTTTTGCATTTAAGTCGTTACATTGATAAGAAAACTTATCATATTTTACAAATTACGCTTCCATTAATACCTATCTTATTCTGGCTCCTACATGATTAACAGAGGGTAAATCATAGATCCATAACAACCCACTGAGTACAACATCCTATTGACAACAAAGACCATTAAAAATTCAAATTGTCCTAGAGAATTGGAGCGGAAAAAGAAAAAGCATGATATCTGAAGCAAGAATGTCAAGTGGGATAATTCAATTTTGATTATAGGACCAAAGCCTAAATACGGCTTCATTACGGGCAGCGACGATCCGCGGACAATCATCTTGAGTAGGTATCATTAGCTACCTACTAATTTACGTACGACGAAATAAAATGACCGGTTTAATATCAAATTACTCAGTCTATGATTTTTGTGGCTTTTGACTCCCTAAATTATTTGTAACAAACATCCGTAGCTAAATTACTTGACTTTAAAATTAGAAACTCGAACTGAGCTACCAACTTCTTGACGTTCCATAGTTTAGGGACGATTAGGAGATTCGCACATAACTCATACACGCAGCTTGTGGCAGCGCATAAACCCATGTGCTTTAGTTAATCTGTAAGAGGCAGCAAACTAGACAGTGTATGGGCAATTTATTCGTCACTCCGCTCGCATCGCAACCAACAATTTAATACTCAAACTCGGCCATGAAACGTTATTTATGCGTGCCCATTTCCATGCCGTCAGCTTAGAAATTGTTTAGGCTAGATAATAACTTTTAAGCTAAGGCTATGTACCTATGTTAAATACTTAAGTGGTTGGACATGACGGCCCTGGGCGGGTTGTAGTCGGGCTTCCGTGGGAACCCGACACGTGACGTTATGAAATCACCAGCGGCGAAAATTGATTGACACTACGCTCCTCTGTTCTCATAATATGCGGTCGCCTCAATACCGTTTCTACGTTTATGGTATTCTTGCACATATCACTATCTTGTGTAATATCGTTTTAACGACCCGTTTATATCCACGCCTTGACGCACGTCACCTCTTGTTTCTATAGGAAAATTATAATGTGACTCAGCCTTCTCGTGTAAATACGTTAACAATTTATTTACCTACGGGTAATTGATTCTCAGAACGCTAAATAAAAAAAATGTAATACTACTAATCCGAACCAGCAGAAAAACGTTGAAAGGAAAATAAAAATTAAATTAAATACAAAACCCTGCACATTCGGTAAGAAATATGAATGTTCAAACGGCGTAAAATAATAGAGTGCGCGTTGCTGTAAATGGTCGAGTGGTTTTGAAATCGCCCGTTCACGAGTCCTGAGCAAACACAAAGTGTCTCACGTGTCCTAATTACATACCGCTCACAGAACTAATTCAGAAAATTAACTGAGTAAGTCCAAGTGTCTGCAATGTCATAGTCAACTCACGCTTCGGTTGGAACTCACCTTGCTATTATAGCTCAACAATTAGCTCTATCTACATTGTTTACTTTAATCAACGAATGTAGTAATTGCTATGAGTAGTTGACAAAGTCCCGGACATTAATTCCTTGTTTCCTGTTGCTTCTTTATGTTAACAGAATTATTGAAGATGATTGTAGCGCGCATAAAGTATCGCGGATTCGTTGGAGCGTCCAAAGATGGAGATTGTATTGAAAGGCAGCTGTGATAATTGTAAAGGAAACAGTCAAATAAAGGGTTGTCGATATGAAAAATCGTCGATGATACGATAGTTCTCAAATCGACAATCGAGATCTCGGGAGCGCATGCTCGCGGCGAGGCGGCGCGTCGGCAGCGCGGGCGCATTCATCCGCACCCCGGTGGCTTATAATTAACACGCTGCAAGTTTTATGAATCGATTAGGATCTAAGCTTTCGTCAATAGCAGCTTTCGTCGCGGCAGACTCTGTCGATGCCTTATCCTTATCGGTGATTAATAGCGATTGAGATTTTTGCCTTAAACATGTTATTACATGTGAGTTAAACTCAGATTGCGCCTGCGTCGCTTTTGGTAATTGCTAGCTTGTCATTGGATGATCTAATATCATTCATAATAAACTGTTGTATTTAAAATTGTTACTTATGTAAGTACTTAAAATTCGATCACCACAATAATTCTTACTGTTAATTTTTCGATTTGCCATTTTTACTCGTACATAAACGAGTAAAAATGGCAAATCGAAAAATTAACAGTTTCTATTCTAGCTCACCTGTAAAGTGACTACAGCTGACAATATTATTATACGTCCTATGTTAGTCAGTGAAGTAATTATGGCAAATAACTTACTGGATGGCTATAACGCCTCGGGCTTTTCTGTAAAGAGCGTACGATGTAGGTACGTATAAATCAATACGCTGAAGACTCACCAATACGACATATAATAAATAATACAAACGAACACTAATTACAGAGAACAGATACCCAATAGGCATAAGTTTGCTTTATCAATTATCTACCCTCCAGCATATTGAAGTTTTCTAACAAAACTCCTTTGATATCATCTGCCATATCACAACGTATTAAGGTTCACTTTTGTGAAGTTTTTAAAGAACAATAATAATCTAAGTGTGCCCTCTAACTGTATGTCAGGAGTTTCCAGGTGGGTCGGTCAAGTAAAAACAATGTAAATGTAGTACTGAGGTTTCGGAATTAAGGAAAAACTAATATTTCCTATCAATTAAAAAAAATGTGTAAGTAGTGTAGTGGGTCGTGGGCCAGGCCCAGGGTGCAAGGGACGGGGTGGTTTTTCATCATTAACACACTCTCTTTCAAATCCTACCTGAGGCGGAAGAAGTCATTTTATGAGTTTCCCCTTTCAAAAGAAAAAAAGTTTTAGAAGTTTGGTTGTCTCTAAATTCTTATTTGGGTTTCAGAATCATCAGAATTTCCGCTGGTGGATGAAGATTTATTTCACCTCCAAACCGCTTTAGGTAAATAAAGTTTTCATGACAAAAATAATGCCATGCTATTACTTTCAAATAAAAATATGGGAAAGATGAAATGATAATAAGATCGTGTGATTCAATAGTTTATTGGGAATACAACTAATAGGTTAAGGTAAATTAAATATAATTTATTAAATACATAAAATTAATCACAGCTTACGTAAGTGAACGACGAACGATTTATATAATTTGATATTCACGTAAATGACAACCTTCAACATTTTTCCAAGGAATGCAGCGCGATAATAAGCAAGTTTCCCTTTAATTTACAGAACAAAGAAAAACAATGTAAACAGTTTTTCATTTTAATTAAACTGCTTTTAAATGACCCGGCAATTGCGACACTCGAAGACTTAGTATTATCCTTCGATTATAAGGCTAGACATAAACAAACAGTTTTATGTAATTCAGTTTTTTTATTTCTCATAACACCCATTGATTGGTCGTTTGTAGGACAACATATGGAGGTATCGCACACTGCAGCCATCAAATATTCATATTACACCTGTCGTGATAAAAGAGCTATTGAGAAAGGTAATGTCGCTGTTCACTTTGATATAGATTGCTTTATATTCCGACTAAGTGTGTAGGTACCGTAATTATACCCTTTCTTTTAATATCAAAAGTGATTTCAAAGAACTACCAGATACAGCTTTATTGCTAAAAACCATACGATAAAATAACCTTAAAACAAAATGTAGTAAAATGACGGAATTATTATTAGGACTAAAACACAAATAAACGTATAATGAAGATATTTTTAAGCTATAAAATATGCCGAATATAACTTAAATCGTTTGCAAAGACATCAAAAGAACATAAAAGCCAACAATACAAGTATTACTAACAAATATCAATATTCACCGTTCTCGTTTCGTGCTGACGTTTTTACAAACAACATTATATTCGCGTTCGTTTTTTTTTTCCTGAAGTGGTAGGCAGAGGTCGCCACCTACATTTGTTTTTAATATCATCGCTGTATTGTGAATACCCCTGTCACTTATAACAATATCAACGAGTTTTATGAACTACAACACCTTAATACTTTGAACATCTGGATGAGTAGTTCACCATAATCAAACAGTCACATTGTATCTACATACCGGGGTTATTTATTTTCTAGATATACAACGTACCACCAATACTGTTTGCCTATTAAATTCCACGTTTATATCAACTACCTACTTAACACTAAAAGGAGATTAGCTTATAAAAAGTTTAAAATAATGTACTTGAATGTACATCAATAGTTACAGGTGCATTTTAACTTTACTTAATTAGCACCTAATGGTGTTTGTGCTAATTAAATACACTAATCAAGTTGATTAAGAGATTAATTCTATATAGAAAAATAGACAGCAGTCGCTGATATTTATCTAATAAACTACATCGTTCCTGTAAAACGAGATGTTAGGGATTTTCTGTATTTACCATGATAGAATTTACTTAACGAAACTGGAAATTGGACTTGGAAAAAGCTAGTTATTTTTTGAGCTGATTTTTCTCAAGCGAACTAAAATTTGACTGTGACGGTCAACCGCTAGCGTTCGGAACCTAATTGCACGAATATCAATGACTGCGCTTGAATAGAAATTCTAAAACAGTAAACAGCTTCACTATCTCTAGAATCTGAGTTAAACTAGCATTGAGGACTTTCAATGCCATACACAATTTCTAGAAACCAGCATAGTGAGTAGTAGATTGTAGAAATGATAACCGATGGGACAAATCCGTCTTTGAAATTCACCCACGAATCGAAAGACATATATATCCTGAAGAACTCTTGCTAAATATACAATATGGAGACGTTGCCAAAGATCGGGTAATTATTGTGACAAATCGTGGTTTCTCGGCTTTTTTTTTCAACAAGGGACGTCTTCTTGCTGGTGATGACGATCAACTTAGAAATAGACCTTAATTGCTTACCAAGCAACTTAGTTACAGCACCTTGCTGTGACAGCACATGGTGCGCGATGTCGTAGTGTCGGAGCCCGAAGCGAGAAAGCTCCAGTAGCCTCTGCTGTGACAGCAGAGAGGACAGAGGGTGGGATGCCGCACCAGGATACAGAGGAGTGCCAGACCCACCTCCAGCTCCGCCGCCAGATGATGATGGAGAAACAGGTACTGGAAATAAGTAGAAAACTGTCAATTACGAGTATTCAAAAACAAGGTCTTCGATGGAACTTCTTGTAATACGATTTTCAAGGCATTTATCATCCCAAAGACACGTTTGGTAGGAAAACGGTAAGGTAGAATTCATGATACCTATTGAACTTTTCCCCACCAGCTTAATCCATGTAGGCATATCTATTCTAACTCTTTAAAAGCCACTAAAAACAACCATACACATCGCCTACAAGATTATTTCTGTTAACTACCATAATACCAGCGGCTAAGGCAATAAAGTAGTGAACATATTTACAAAACGTTGCATGAATACATTGTCAGAAAACAACCTATGTAACTCCACCTTTATTTTTCAACATTACGATATCGAAGCTTACACAAACGGAACGGTTGCATTGCACTATGAGGATTAAATGTCAATGCCAATAATCCTATAAAATATCAACTTTATTATTTCGTACCAAAGTAGGGACTAATGTGTCTGTATTTTTAGGTTTTCAGATAAGTTAAGATTACAATGTAAGTATTTTAAGTGAAATAATGCGTCGATGTACCTGCACCTTCATGTTAAGTTTAGCTAATATAATAAATACTTATATATCAGTCTGAAAAATACTCAATATAACTAGAACTATTTAAAAAGGCTCCTTGAAATAAATTAATAAAAACTGGGTAAAATTGCAATGTATGGAGACAACGTAGTAGAACTTCACCGGTTTATCAGTAGGAGCGACAATCGAATCGACACCTCCTTGCAATCGTCTTTTACGACTCGAACGGGATGATAAGCTTTACCAGCGAAGTGTGAAATTACTAAAATATACCTTGAATTAATTTATTCATATTCCTATAAACCGCATTTTTATCATCACGATATCGGTTTTCGAATGAATAAAAAATGTAAATCAGGAGACGTATCAATTAAAATCATTAGTCGCTTTTACGATTTCTACAAAATCCGTCGGGAAAAGTAACAAAATTAAGTCATCAAAACAAATAACAACAGTAATTTGGCGGACTTTATGTTCCTCGTTGATACAGCGTTGTTTTTTATATGTGACCGTGATGGGACTGCCTCTGGCGAAACACTCGGCCCTGATTCCACGTAAGCGGTGATTCCGTGTGCGCTCATTATGCGCCGTCCCTTTGTCATTACAATACCGTGTCAAAGGCTCAGCAACCACTTTTATTACTAGCCAACACACGCTAACCACACAGCCTGTGTGAATCGGTGTAGACAATTTCAGAACGCGTAATCAGACCTCCGTCCATAAACCCTTCCTCACATTTCATATGAAATGGTGTAAATCTAGCAATAAAATAAATAACATTTTAATAAGATTAAGAAATACAATTTTTAAAATCAGACAGTATGGTGTAAAAATAAAATTTTATAGGCAGACAAACTGGATCCATCGATGGCATAAATACAAAATTTAAGTGTTTCTCAAGCCTCAAGTTTCCATCTCTCAACACGTATGCATACATATTTTTATCCACGCAATTTGTCGTTAACAACAACCAGATATGCTAAAGGCTGATCGTAACAATGCTTTCTTATGAACACATCGTAACACATTCAATTATAAATTAAGCTATTAACTTAATATACCATAATTTGTTTATCAGGTTAAGCATCGAAATTAATGCAAGTGGCATAACTTGTCCATAACTTAACACTTTTTATTAGCGAGTCAATAAGGCGATTTCGTCAACGAAAGTATTATCAAGCTTTCGTGAAACATTCAAAGGAAATTGACACTTGTAGGAAATAAGTAAGGAGCATTTTAGATGGCAGGCTCTGTTCCGATGAACCGCTTGGAACTCGGCTACGACGTATAATTTCTCGTGTAATCGCTTTAATAATGGGAGAAAAAAAGTGATATTATCTGCCCACGGTCAATAAATTAACACCGTTTAGAGCAAAAATGTAGATTCTTAGTGTCGCTACTATTATAAATAAATTGGACTCAAACGAGTATAGGTTTTAAAGGAGATCGTGTTGGTGAGTGCGTGTGTGTGTTTTTATTAGGGTGCGTGAGCAGTGAGGCCTTATTAAAATATTTCGAGTGGAAACTGGAAGGACCACTTAGTGGTGCGCGGGAGTTTCACGCCTGAGCTGATACAACATTAAATCGACAAGATAGCTTATTTGTGCTGAGCTGAGGATTAGTGGCAATAAATCACTGATTAGAATGTATTGACTGGCGTTGACTCCGGCGCATGGTCGCCGCTATTATTTATTGACCATCAGTTTTTTAGGCTTTTACGGCTCCATTTTATCTATTTGTTAATGTTTAACGACTCCAACTAGACAGTTTGTTTATTTAATTAGCTTCGCCATTAATGCAAATTGTGATTCTTCTTATCTTATTAGATGTGCGTGGTTAAACTTAGTTTTCAATTACTTATGCAAATTAGCTGGTCAGAGAATTCATTGGTTAAGAACATTGAAAAAAAAAACTTGCAATTTTTACTCATGTATAGGTGAATGCACTTAAAACCGAATTAGATAACGTACATAAAACGCATTACTAATTAACGTCATAACCATAAGTTGATTTATCAACATACTTACATAGTTTAGAATACAATTTACATACATGTCGGCAATATTTTCTGTGGTTAATAGTTTAATTGTGTAAACAAACAAGCAAATTTGGTCGATACACCTGCGCAGGCGTCGTATAAACATGTAAAATGATGCGAGGGGGAGCGCGCTACTAGCGTCGACTTCGTCCGAATGTAAAACTCTTTTATGCAAAAAAATGTTCTACCCGCGAGTCTTGGCGCTATTAATGTCATCACACGGCGGAAAATTACCACCTTTCGTGTAAATTTCAATGCGAGATCGAAAGTGTACTCGATATTGCCCCTTTATGATTGCAAGGCATTACATGCAACAACAAGTCTTTTGGAATTGTTTAAAGATACGCATGAATTATGGATATGAGTCGGGTTAAAGACCGTTGTTACTCGCGTCTGTATTAAAATTGCGATTTCAGTGATTTGAGTGTTAAATTGTCTGTGAAATGATCTCAAAAGAACAAAATACGGTAAATATCACGGATATGAAGTGAGCCATTAATAATAATTGCACTCGGATTGAAAGCAATCAAAATAAATGCATTGCTGTATTATTTTATTTTTTTATTTGGCTGTACCGAATCAATAAACTCGTACTGTTTATTGAAAATGAAATAAACAATTACCTACTTATTTAAGTGTGAATCGAAATATTGAATCAGTTCTCATAGTTCAGAAACGAGTTTTCGTTTTTGTAAAACCTTTTAAGTTTATGAAGCATCAATTGATATTAAATTATTGCACAGTGGGCGCTGAGAGTATATCAATCGACAATCGTGTTCGTGGACAGTCAACCTCATCGTAATCTGGCTGGCGTTTCTATTAAACCTTATTGCGACTTATTTACGTTCAAGCTTTACATATATTAAGTTGAACAGGTAACTAATGAGTGAGACATCTTGAGATCGTAGTTTTAAAGCCACTGTAAAATTAGCATTTTCATGACAAACTTAATATGGTATCTCCTCTCATTATAACAATCTATGCTGATCGCTTGAGCAATCTCTTCACTAGTGACATCTTCGATCAGGAATATTTTTTACGTACTTTTATTAAATCAATTTTCATCTTTTGTCTGCCCGTACTTGTTTAATTCAAGTCTATAGTATCTAGTTTAAGTCAGTACATCCTCCTATTTATTCCTCGGTTTTGTCTACTTCGCATTTGTCTCTAAATTCTAATAATGAAACTAATTTCACCACTTTTAAGTTACGTCACCAAAATAAATTAACTAAATATTTATAATTTTATGATAAATGTAGGTATGTATGAAATATTTTGTAGCTGGATAGAGTCGAGTACTATAAGAACTATGAAAAATCGATGTAGGTTTATTTAAATTTATAAAGGTTTGTTAAAGGTTACACTGCAGGACGTACAATAAAAATAACCATTTTAATACAAAAACTTACAGATACAAGGGACCCAATGGCAGTACTGTAAGAATTGTGTCAGTTAAGTAAGAAAACTAAGTGTATCTGGACTTGTTCGGAGTGATACACACTGCGGTTCAGTGCCTCCAACCTGCAAGGTTGAATTGGATGAAGTTTTCTTTAAAAAGGATATTTGGGATTTTATAAATACTAGGTTAGGTTATGTTCTACGCTAACATATTTTGTCACGCGATCTGATAACCTAAGCGAAATTTAAAATGTTCCGTACTTTTTCATAATTTAAAATAAAAACAAAAGCAAGCAATAATTAAAACTGATATTAGTCAATGCTTTTAAAAGTTGCTCGTTGTGACGATACTGTCAAAAACTTATTGAAATGGATACCATTCCATATTTCAGACAAGTATCTATGCATCCAATGTCGAGAAATTGATAGGCAAACTATTTTTCTTGACTACCTAAAATTCTAACATCAACTTTAATTATTTATTTCGATCACTTCATTAAAGCTTCCTAGGTCGTCGGATCAATGTCATGGCATCATAAAGGTGAACGCAATAAATTTATATTTGTGTTTGTTTTGTTGTCTGTCTGTCTGTGGTATCTCAAACCAATTGATAGTATTTCATTGGAGTTTCCTTTTGTTTTGTTACCAAGCGCCTTAGAGCCCTCCTCCATTTTTTTCTCATTGAGACTTAATTTTAACTTGCAAAAAAAAAAATTGCCTATTTTTATACAGTAACGTTGTAAAAAATAATATCAAATTGGTGATTTCAGCATAGTTTAAATGTATTAGGTATTCTAACTTCGCATTTTATGATCATTTTACTACTTATACCTGGGTATGTAAAATATTTTGTAATAACTAAGGCGAAAGTTGATTGCCATAAACTGAGTAGACATTAATGATTATTTAAAACCTAGAAATGTTTAATAGGTACCTAATAACACCTATGAGACAGATCAATGTAAGTATTTAACTAGCTAGGTACTTGAAAAGATGCACACATAAATTGCAAGTTTTAAATATCATTTTTTTTCACGCTTTTGAAAGACTATACATTCGTAATAGCTTAATTAAAGTCAACTTGAATTATTCAGTAAATAAACGGGATAAAAGTGAAAATTATGTCATAAACAAGAAGAGAATGTGTTCCCTTTAAAGGGGGAGAATTATATTTAAGGGTATCCAACATTCCTTGACATAAATCGATCTGTAGATTGACACAGACTAATGGTCAAGTATAATTACCAACTTCACATATTTATGGCCAATTATAGGTACATCTATAGTGATGTATCATCTAGAAATACTTATGGGATGATAATGGTGATTCCATTATCATTGAAAGCCGTTTAAAATGTCGATGAGCTTGATGACTTTGGGTCGTCGAATTTATGCAAAAACAATTAAAGTCGTGATGACTGACTATTTTCAATAACATAGTATGTTTTTAAAATAATATTATAAGTAATAGAATGCATGATTTATCAACAATTAATACGAATTAATTTTTATCAAGGTAACTACGAAAATATTATTTTTTAATTAACTCCATCTTCCACGTAATGCCTTTAACAACCTACAAGTTTGAAAATGAGTATGTTGATAGGTTATGAGGATAAACCAGGGCACAGTAATAAAACCTCCTTCATTAATTGCAGTACATTATCAAACCATTAAAAATAGTTGAAAATGTCCTACAAAATTAACCAATAGTTTTTGTTGGTAATAATAAATAACATCGGATGGTATGCTTTGCTTGACAAACGTAACATGCCTATCCTGTGTTTCGACTTCGTTGCATATTCAATGCGCTCGATTCGCGAAGATTTAATAGTCAGTTCAGACGGCATCCGCAACGGAAGTAAGCTTTAATACAGCAAACAAATGAATGTTTTTACGTATATTTATGCAGTTTACTTGTTCTTCGTTTACTCGTTCAAGTTTGTTACATTATGAGTTAAGCAGGTTACTGTTAAGAAGACTTCTTAAAAATTTCTGTTAAAAAAATATTAAAAATACTTATCTATGCTTTAGAGTGAAAACCTTATACGTGTAAGAAGAATTTTCTATGGCGTCTTTCATGTTTTTTATTATCATTATTTTATATATTGAAATATTAGTACCTTTTCAACTGTAGTATTCAATTTTAAAATAAATACGAATTTGTTAAATTGAGTAACATTGAATACTTTGAAGCATTGCAACCGTTTTTTATAAGAAAGAAGATTTTTATTTGAGGTAACAATATAGTAAAAGGCAGCAAAGTAAAAGTCAAAATCATTTATTCTAAGTAAACCATAAATAGGTACTACAATTACTAGTACCTAGTCTGTCAGTCTGTTCGTCAGTGACGCTTGGTGCTCGTTCTAAAACATAGATTCGAATAGAGAAGAACGAGCCATAAACTCCACCGTTACTCTTTTAAAAAAACTTTTTAGCATGACAAAGGCACATATTAAATGCACTCATTTAGTTCATTACAATAATAAAATGTAACGTTGTGATTACAAAAATTATTAGGTATTCATAGCAATTATAAAAAAAAGGGACAACTGAGTCCGTTGCATTAGGGATGTTTCAGGGTAAAATAACATAGAAGTGTCTTTAGATTTTCTTTTAACCTTATTATAAAAATCTAACTAGAAACGACGATAATATAACAATATATTACCTAATAACAAACGAACAAAGTAAAATTTTTAATCTATAATCACTGTGAAAAAATGTTTAGTCCCATCACAGTTTTTGTATCAATTTGCTACGGACAAATTAACAAAAACTCTTTAAATAATTCCTATTGTTCTGTTCATTATAACAGTTTTGTTTTATTTATTTTCTTCTTAAAACCTTCTTTTGTATCTAGATAAGCACCAACGAATCAATTATTTTTTTTTTTGCTGTAAAAGGTAAGTTTATAATTGGGATGCTAGGTACGTGCCGGACCGTTTATCTAAGTGTAAATTATGTATCAAATTACAAAGAAATCACTCACTAACCGTTATGTAAATATTATTATTTTCTGAATGTCATCTTGCTGCAAATAAAGTCTATAACGCTACTCAAATGTGTTGAATAGAAAAATCAATGTATGGGCTTACCATTATATCAATATCCAAATGTTAGTGTGAGACTGACCTCTGAGTTTGTATCGGCATTTCCTCTAAGAGTAGTCATATAGGAAATGCCGGCTTCATCTAGTTTTTCACATATAAATTGACGTGTAAAAGTGCCGTTTATGGCCTATTTGCAAAAATAAATTCATTGTTTCATTGTTTCAATCCTATAACTCAATAATATTTACCTTCTACTTCATTACACAGTATAAAACAAAGTCGATTCATCATTCTCTATCCCTTTGTAAGTTTTTTTTTAATAGATGGAGAGGTTGAAGAGGAAGGTTTATATGTATAATAACATCCACTAAAGTAGTGGAAAATTTAGCATGGGCATTGCACCCGTGCGAAGCTGGAGCAGGTTAATTTTTGTTAATTTTAATGTAGAGAAAATTTATAGCTTTTCAGTGAGCATTCTAACTTTCTGGCAAGCATTTTAGCGAGCGTTCTAGCAAATGAATGATAGTAAAGTTCTTTATCAAGCGAATGAACATTGTTAAAGCCATTTTCTAGAATGGTCTTGCAATCATTGTTTTTTGAACCAACATAAAAACGGTAAATACTTAATTTTCTGTTGCTAGTAACGGTCAAATCTATCAACACCTTTACATTAATCTGATAAGTGTACGTACCCATCGCTGATTTGTTTTTACTGTTTCAATCCTTATTTAACAGAAAATCCGAACCAGTATTATTTTAGACAGAAAATTGATTAGATTTCAAACGATTTCTGTGAACCAATTGTAGAACCATAAAATATCAAAATAATTTGCTCAGTTTTATTGACTTGTGGTCGATTTCCATTATCGACTGTCATGGTATGTTTATAAGTTTTGATGCCAAATGGAAAATCGTGGGAAATGCCGACTCTGCGTTGCTAATTCTGTTTATTTTATTAATGTAATAACCATACAACCAATTTCCATATCTAATAAAAATATATATAAGAACTTTACTACGATTTACTTTTTTATGTTGCCAACTCTATGATTTTGTCATCCATATCACACTCAGAACCGGAACAACAAAAGGTAAGAATGTGTAGCATACATACCTATATAATAATCATACAAATAAATAAGTATGTGGATCGAGCAAATATTGTTTCGTTTTCCAAGCCGTGACATGTTTTGCAACAAGCGGGCCCAGCCATGGCTCCACCCGTCATCCCATTTTTTAAGAATCAAGTTTATCCAGCTAATTCGATTGAATCAAGTGACATCAGAAAAGTACGTTTAGTTTGAAGATGGCGGTGTATTTCTCTAGCAAGCGGTTTAGGGTGTACACAGTTGTGGTATTGTGTCACAATCATTGGTAGCCCAATGCATTTCGGCATAGCACAAACACGGCGCAGGCGCAGCACCAAAGGTACTCAACAGTACTGCATGCAAAGCCGTCGCTTGCGTCACCCAGTCAGTGTGAACAAGTGGTACACAGTTTACTCATCAGGCCATGTATCGAATGCTTTGACCGACTTAATGACTTATTAACACATTGTTGCTATTGTCTAGTAATTAAGGAGCATCGTCTCAGTTTATAAAGCCACCTGTTTATTATGCGTGATCACCATTTAAATGTTAATTAGATTTATTAAAGCACCTGATCAAACGCGTCTCAGTATAAATGATGACGTGAAAAAAACATTCTCTCGAATAATATTGTATTCGATGAAAATTTATTCGACATTTTATGAGTCAAGTAATTGACATGAAAATACTTTATATTTTCAATTTGAACATACATTATCGTGTTGCCAATTGAAATGTACTGCGTTCAATATATTTCAGTTAGTTATTTACATTTTGTCAACATTAGTAAAGGTGAAGTACGCAATTAGAATGAATCAAATAAATTAACGATTGATGAACACTTAAGAGTTAACTCCTTTTAATAAGTACGTATCTACCTAAATAATGCCTTCATTCTGTTTATACTGCTAATGATGTACTTTCAGATGTGTAAGAGCCAATTCAGTTTGTCCAATTATTTGCTGTCGTTAATCAAAACGTTTCGAATGCTATATCTAGGTATCGCATACAAATCGGCGGGTGAATATTGAGCAACCTTCACCGGAAACGCTACTGGGCAATCTAGCGGCCGATCTATCGATTAATTAGTTCGATCGGCAATACAATGCGGACTATGTTGTGCGATGGTCGGCACTTTTCGCTCACTCATCGCGGCAGCTGGTTCAACGATGACAAATGACAGACGGACAAACGTGGCTCGATATACCTACATGGACTACACGAAGCTGATGACGTGACAAACACCGCGTATATACCACTTAAGTATCTTAATTACATAATTATGTATGAATGATCAGCTTCGTGATGTGTTTATTATCTGCTTATTTTTCAAATTGCTCTCTGACAGATAAATATCAAGTTATCGTGCTCGTCTATGCAACGCTTTTAATAATATGTTCTGTGATTCATGGAAATGAATAAATTGCACATGGTGGAAACAAGTTAATTTTATTTTTTAAGTCAAACATATGAAAATATTAAAGATAGCATAATGAGTACATACGTTTGTATATAAAGTACTAGCTTTTT